ATATGCTTAGCTCTCCGCGTAACTGTGCCTTCTGCTTTTTCTGCGCGATTGGTTCAGTCTATAAGGGACAAGAATAATTATACCTACCAATAATAAAGGACAACAAATATGCTCAGCATCACCACCAATCCCCATACCACTGATCTCTGCACGATTGGCCTTCCGCGTCAGCTGAGACTGTACATGTCCAGGCTTCTATGCAGGGCAGGCTGCCAGTACTATTGGTATTTGTTTATGCATTTTCGGAAGTCACTGCAACACACTACGCGAAATCAATGAAAATGGGAATCTCAAAGATCACCACGGTAAAAAAAAGAAGGCAGTTCTGTGCTTCGCACCATAACGCGACCCATTGGGCGTTCCTATTGGAAACTGATACGAGCATGTTGAAACGATACAGAGAAGAGTAGCACAGGGCCTGCGCAAGGCCGGAACGAAGGACGAAGAAAGGAGCATCCTGATCGCATAAAAATCCTGAACGAAGAATGAAGGAAGAAGAGAGGCCAATCGGAATTTGATTGCCACGTTAACCTCTTCAAAACAAAACGAAACGAAAGCGTGAAAACAACACAAGCCTAACTCAAACGGCACCTCCATGTACTGTTGACATACAGACTCCAGATGATGGGACCAAAATCTTCAACAAACTTTCAGTACAGACTCCAGAAGTCCAGTGAAAAAGTTAAACAAAAAGCTAGTGAACATCAGAAAGATGGGTATATGCATAGAAAGATGTAGTGATGTATTGATGTACAAAAACGGGTATATGCATAGAAAGATGTATTAATGTACAAAGACGAGTATACATACACGTATTGATATATTGATGCACCACACTGGCTAATACCGGAAGGTTGACGCAAAGCGTTCACTATTTTACAGAGAATTTCATTATCAGTATATTTATGAGACCTACACAAACAAAAAGAGCGCCACACCTAACACCTACTAGCTAGGTGGGTACACCCATGAACTGTTGAAATACATACCCGTGTTCGAATCCAGATGACGGAACTTGACGAGTGAAAACCAACTACTAATGAATTGCCTGGGACCGGTCAGCTCAATGATAATATCTCAAGGTCGTCGCCCTTTTATGAAAAAAAAAAGAAAAAAGAAAGGAGTGCCGTCTTCCTCGGTCGGCGAGCACCTGGAGGATAGCTCAGAACTGTTGACATACAGACCTAAGTTGGATTTTAGCTCATGGAACTGGATGTGAAATCTAATGGATGTAACATCCAATGTTAAAACAGAGAAAGCAACCTATACAAGTAGTTTGAAGGAAAAGGACTACCGTCTTTCAGATTCGCAGAGCGCCATCTCTCCGGTTACGTTTGCGCCGAAGGAGGACAGCTCGGTTTTCTTCCTTGTCAAAACACAGCGCGCGGTGGGGTTTTCTCCCTTATCATCCTTGCGCAGGGGCTGTGCTACTCCCTACGCGCCGTCGGAGAGACGGGGGCTTCTTGGTCTCACACACTTCGCGCGTATCATCCTTGCTCAGGGACTATGCTACGCCCATATAACATCACTCGAACTTTTGCAAACTTTCATCGAACTTGCCTCGGAATTCCATCCCAAGGGACAAGAGAGAACCTTTTGTGAAAAAAACACTACGCCTCAGAGATGTAACGAAAGGACATGAACTCAGCATGGCTCGAAAACACTACTGACCAACAAGAGAAAGAGATCTCAACCATGGCCCCTGCGAAAGCAGGACGCATAAATCGAGAAAGAACAACTTTTTTTTCCTCAAAACACTGCAGCACGTTCGACAGCCAGCAACGCAACGTAGCGCTCTAGACAGCCGGTCCATCAACGGCGAAAGAAGAAACCTGGAGGCTAAACTACCATCAGACACCATCAGCCCCTGTTACACAAGCAGTTAAAACTTAAAGGGGGGGGGGGGAAGAAAAGGTAGTTGGAGACCGTGACACAGAAGGCAAAAAGCCACACCGAGAAAAGCAGAACGAACAAAACATATGAGGGAAAAAAAAAAAAAACAGATCACAGCAAAATAATTCAGTTTGACGCCGTTAGCCAGCCCCGGTGGGGCGCATCGGCGGAATCAGGGCAAGGGAACGAACTCTGTTCAACGGTGCTACCATGGGGCCTCGGTCCACTAATAACCACATACACCCACGACAAATAAAAAAAGACCGTGTATCTTCCCATAATCCAGCGGAAGATTTATTCTCATTTTACATTTAGTTCAGCGAGGCCCATAGATAACTGATGAGAACATACGCCTTCCAATCAACCAGCCGAGCGAAAGAGACTGAGACCGACACCCGAATCTCTCTCTCTCTCTCTCCCCTTACGCCATTTGACTATCTCATGGCTTATACAACTCCTGATGAAATCTTCGCTATTCTGCTAACTCATATGGTGAGTTGAGCGGCAGAACAGCAAAAGGCCCCGTAAGCTGGCAACTGGAAAAGGGGGGGGCAAGGGTAGAATGTCACACCAAGCGATTGATTGCTGGTTGTTAACGGAACTGTAATAATGAGGGACGCAGACGTTCAAGTAGTGAGATGCAGTATTCGCAGGGAGAAATATGAAGGGTGGGAAAAGGAGATTGAACAAGATATGGCGCTCCATAAGCAGGCTCTGAACTCATAGTTCGAGAAGTCAGGGAAAATAGGTATATTGAGTACACCTTGATTGTGAGCAGATACATCCTCTGAGGTCGCCTTGGATGCCTTCTTGTTTGTCTTTGACGCAGTTGCATGTGCTTAGTAGTCACTGGGCCGCTCACTGTGAATGCGTGGAAAGCTTTGCAAGTGAAATGCACTCGGGTTCCTGACTTGTGATCATTGACTCCTGAGTCGTCACTTTGATCAGAACTCAAACAATTGTCCTTTCGCGAAGGTGAGACGAAAAAAAAAAGAAAAAAGGAACTGCAGGAGCGCACAGGCCCTCCCACTCAAGAGACCCCCCTGGCCTTGATTGTGAGCAGATACATCCTCCGAGGTCGCCTTGGATGTCTTCTTGTTTGTCTTTGATGCAGTTGCATGTGCTTAGTAGTCACTGGGCCGCTCACTGTGAATGCGTGGAAAGCTTTGCAAGTGAAATCCACTCGGGTTCCCGACTTGTGATCATCGACTCTTGATTCGTCACATTGATGAGAACTCAAACAACTGTCCTTTCGTGAAGGTGAGACGAAAAAAGAAAGAAAAAAGGAACTGCATCCTCTGAGGTCACCTTGGATGTCTTCTTGTTTGTCTTTGACGCAGTTGCATGTGCTTAGTAGTCACTGGGCCGCTCACTGTGAATGCGTAGAAACTTGGAAAGTTTTGCAAGTGAAATGCACTCGGGTTCCCGACTTGTGATCATCGACTCCTGATTCGTCACATTGATCAGAACTCAAACAACTGTCCTTTCATGAAGGTGAGACGAAAAAAAAAAGAAAAACGGAACTGCAGGAGCGCACAGGGCCTCCCACTCAAGAGACCCCCCCCCCCAAGGCTCAGTTGAAGTACAGACCCAAGGCTCACTTGAAATACACACCCAAGTTCAAATCTGGATGCAACCACACGAACAGCATAAATATGCTCTGAATTGCCTTCGGCCGGTCAGTCCAGTGCTCATATCTCACGGCCGTTGGGCACCGCCCGTACTGGGGCCAGCTATCGGCCGCGGCAAAAAATCGAGTAGAAGCGTTCCTAGTGGGATGAATTTGGGCGCTCGTGTAGTGGCCCTTACAATTCCTAAAATTGTGGCTTGTATGCGGGCACTACTTCGACCACTAGTACCTTTGGCGTCCGGTTTCGACAAGTACTAGCCAGCTCCCGAACTTTCAGGAGGCCGAGCCCGACGTTGATCAATCTGATCGGCGGCCGTCGTTTCATTTCGGCCTCCTGAAAGTTCGGACGCCGAGTATTTTCGAACCGACAAACGTACTAGTACCGGTGGTTTAAATGACCAATCAATCCAGATACGCACAGCGGAAGCTCGAAAATACACAGAGAATTGAAAAACGAATTTCAGTTCTGCAATCCCTCGTCCTCGTCCAATCAATCCAGAGTACTTGTCGAAGAATCACAACCGCGTTTACGACAACCCCGACCAACCAAAAGCAAGTGTTCAGCGAAGTATGCAGGACTCTTCTTCTTCCTCCTCACCACCTTATACCCCTGGCTATGGCTGCCGTAGCAGCAGTAACCCCACAGCTGTCGCAACGTGCCAATCTGAACCAGCAACCCCAATGATAGCAGCGCCAGCTCATCGCCTGCACGGAAGTTCAGCGCTGGAAGTCCTGATGAAGTAGGAGACAACTGATCCAGCACTTGGAAGACAAGGAAGTTCCTCGTGAGGAGGAACAGCAGATATGGCTGCCAAGTGGAAAATGGCAGCACCCAAACCCAACAACACAGTCCTGTGGAAGGTCTCATGCAGAGCTGCAAAATAGCAGCAGTGTGATCTTCAACTTCGTTTCCCAACCCCAGCTATGGCTGGGCTTCAATGAAGAATATGACCTCGCCCAAAATAGAGCAGCAGCACTGCAATAACGGACGGGCAGAGTTTTTCCAGCCAACGAAAACGTGAAAAGACCCGAACCAAATTTCCTGCCCGCTCCATAGGATGCCGCACTCACAAACAAGACACACGACTTACAGGTCACGGGATCAAGTCCCTCAAAGCTCAAAACAAAGAAACAGCAACTCTGTCAGCAAGTAAACAAACTACACAGCCGAACACTTAAGTGTACAGCCCGACTGGGAAACGGCTATTTATTGCACCGTACGGAAACACGGTCCCTCCTTCGCAGCTTTGCCGCTCGTTCTCTTTCTTTTCCACAACGCAGCGGGTGAACTCAGCCTCCCTCCCCCCTAAACCTATCCCAGCCCCACCCCTCCCCCTAAACCCCTCCCAACCCCCCCTTCCCTCCCCAACTCATCCCAAGCACCGATCGTTCTCTTTCTTTTCCACAACGCGGCGGGTGAACTCAGCCTCCCTCCCCCCTAAGCCCATCCCAGCCCC